ACAGTAATGTTCATCAACAACTTAAGCGTCGCTTGGGCAAGAAGTACTGACGTTTAAATTGTATTCATATTACGGAATAACAGTGTTGATTGTTTTGCATGGGGGTCGATGGAAATTCCAACGTGCAACCGCTGACATAAATTGCCTTCCGATTGATATTTGACCTTACGATCAACGAGTTTACTATTTTCTACAACATGTTCCGTTGCACAGTGTTCAGTTGCATTAATTTGCGAAAAACATTACGTAATTTTGCCCCAACAAATGTCGTCGAACTTGCGTATAGGATTGATGGATGTTTAAATTATACTAGAATACCTTTATGAGCATGCTAAGAAAACCAGGACAATCTGTTAGTTTGTGTACCATAGAACTGTAAGAATCCGCGTTTATGTAATCACATTTGTGACAGATAAATGAGAAAATCACATAACTTAGATCTGTAATCGATCAGGAAATAACCGACAGGAAATACAATCAGTTTGGGATCACACATACTGAAAGCCAAAGGGTCAACTTTATGTAGTTTAAAAGTGCGCAGAATAGTATATAAAAAGCAGATTCACTGACTTGTGCAAAAGCGCAGTTTAGATGGAAGTATCAACCTAGCTTCCAGCTGAGTGGAATATCTGAGCATTTTGTTGGCTAGCATCTGACGTTCCGGACAGCCATAAAGAAATTTCAGATACATCGTTAGTTGAAATCGGAAAATAGAACCTCATTATATGTAGACGTGTTGAGTTATAAGACAAGTTGGCCAATTCGAAAAACATTTCATTGTAACTAGATTTGAAGATAATTCTAGACAACTGAAGTCAAGAAAACCGTCATCGACATATATGAAAATCCCATCCCCGAAAATAAACGTGTAATTCACACACAATGTGAACTGATGAGTACGCAATGATATCTGTCGGAAAATCCAACCACTTAACGAATGGGAAACACAGTTGGCTACTGAGGTATTTAAGTTTGGGATGATCTCATTTTGCCTGGTATTTCAACGATAGTTCTGTAACACATGAAACATGGATAGTGACTTATTATAATTTGGTCTGCGATCCATTCATCTAGAAGGGTCCGACCCGCTTGCAAAGAACAACCGCGGTGAGACTTGTCTTCATTTGGTCGCACGTGGTAACCATGTGGAACTGGTGCCACTCTTACTTGCTCAAAATGTGGACATTAATGCAACAGACAACAACGGGGAATCCGCACTTTTTGTTGCAGTACGAGGTCACAAGCAAAAAATGGTCAAAGAATTGCTCAGTCGGTGAGACTAAATAATTTCTCATAATAAGTTGAATTTGGCTCAATATATTTTTGTCATTCCAGAAATCGAATGCATAAATTGGATAACTGTTGTAATCAGAAGGCACGCATTATTAAATGAATATATTTCTTATACTTTTATCTATTGTACATGTATGTTTAGAACATAACCACACTTAGAATACTTCAGTTATATGGGAATCGCACAGATCGACCTTGATTGTGGGGGGAGGGGTGCTGTTCATAGGTGAACAACTGCAAACGAAATTTAGCTCTCATTTGGTTGATGGTGAATAGAGGGGATTACAAAATGTGTCCAAACGGATGTATGACTAGAATTAATCGGATCAGTAAATCAAAACGCAATATCAACCTGTAATTTTCTGATATTTGTGTTGAAGGCTTTTTTTTCATGCAAGCTACGTGCTATTCGTCATCAGCAGTAATAGTAAAGCCCTCGGGCAACATATTGTGCGTCACTTGAATGTGGGTACAGGCCTTTTTCTGTCTCACCGATTTATTAGTTCAAGCAGCTGCAGTAAAACCCATAAGTGCTTTTAAATAAATCGGTATTTAAATTTCAACCGGAGGTATAGAAAGTGGTGATGTGAGAACAAAACAAAAATTGTCTGTTTCATCGATTCGTTTTGGCGTTATTCTATTCCTCTTGTTAAAAGTGTGTCGGCTAAGGAATGCCTGATTGAACAGTTCTACGGCCGGTATTTTGACAGAAGTATACTTGTTTCATTTTGCTCGTCCGGTTTTTTAAGCAGTCAGTCTATATATTTGTCGTATAAAACTGTTTGCCGAACACTGTCTTATTTATCATCCTTGTATGGTGCTAAATTCGTTTACCGAATCTTTATAGGTCTTTTTCTATTAAATGAATATCGTGCGAATGAGTGTCCAAACCCTGTTTATCTCTAATTATCTGTCGTATATAACCTGCAGGTTTTCCGTATGCAGCTGATGAGATTAAACGAAATATTAACATGTCACAACGTATGTCTTTCTTCTGCACTGATGAACATTTTGTAAATGTTTTGTATTTTGTAATTTTGTCCTTTTAACTCATCTGCAGTGAACAGTAACACGGATGCAGTGATAGAAGTACTCGCCCAGATTGTTGACAAGCTGATTAAATGAATGTGTAGGAATATACATAATCAGGAAGGACAAATTTAACCACGTGGTTGTTAACCACTACACGGTATATAAAACACTACGTATACACTTATATTGTTGAGGAGGTTGTTACTGAATCAGAAAACTTGTTTGAACATATGTGATTATATACCCGATAGGCTGACAACTTTGTCTGCCGAATTAATGCAGTCACTAAGCTTGTGGGTACAAATGCCTCGGTTCTCATAAAAATTAACTAACATGGTAATTTTCTTTGTTTTCTCCTTAACACACTACTGTAAGTCATCCGACTTGTATGTTTGTCAACGTCGTTATTTTGTTTTCTGTTTATCGGCTGCTTCAGAATGCTGTTTTATTATCGCGGCGGACTTCACGATTTTGTTTTAAATTCAACTTTATTTGCTTGGAATTATTCAAAAATAAACCTGTAAACAAATTGAGTACTCTGACGAGTACAGAATAAAATATATGTAGATCTTTAATTAATCTATCGGTTGCACACTTTTAGGAAGTTATCAGGATTTCTGAGTTTGAAGTATCGTTTATTTCTACGAACAGGTAGAATAAGTTACACTTGAAAGCTACATAGTAATAAGTGGAATTTACTAAGTCTCGTCAAACCATGTAATGAGACAAACCACAAAATCCAAGAGGTCGCTGGTAACGAATGACAATAAAGGCAACACAAAGAATGCACACAGAATATTTGGTTAGATCCGGAATGGATGTTGGCTGGATGTCACTTCACACGGTCACAGTCAGATGTTAGTGTGTGGTCAGAATGGATGTGATTGAACTTTAGGTCCGGAACTTGCAGGGAATAAGCAAATGTCTTTTGACGACACAGGTTAGGTTTGTTTAGTCTGATGGCAATTGCTTCTGCTGTGGACACTGTGTGCATTACCTCCTACGGGATTTTAGCCTTTGTAGTTAAAGTGATGACTTGCTCCAGATAACTATTTTCCCTCAACAGGTTTTGAACCGTTTTTAATCCATGCTCTATTGCGTCATCTGGACAAATCTTTCTTGCTCAAGTTGTCCGGCGTTAGACCAAATTTCTTTTTTGTTTAGGGGGCACGTAACTGTGGAAATTGGTGTAAACTTGCGATATACCTACCTACACAATGAATTGTCTAGAAGTCTGAGCAGCTTGACACCTAAGAATTGGAACGCTGTTAGAGCTGTCTTCTCAGGTGAAGACAACCCTAACCTTAAAACAGTCCATCAGGGTATTCTGACTACCGTCGAATCAGTTGCCATCAGATTAAGCAATCCAATTCTGTGTCGTCAAAAGAAGTTTAGCCATAGTTCATTCATATCCATTCGAACCAGTCTACCGAGTTAAGGTCACTCAGTCGAGGGCGGTGAGGCATAGGATTTTGTCCACAGCAGAAGCTATTGGAATTCGCCTGGTTAACCCATCCCTGTGCGTCCAGAAACGTTTGTTCAGACTTTGCATCTGCCTTGGCCATCCCGCCACCCTGTTAGCCTGCCAAGAACCACTTTTAAAGTGGGTACTTGATGCAGTGTGACATTGAATTGACTGACTTCATAAACCACCCGTCCATGCTTACCGCCTTCAAGATTTCCCTGTAAAATGTGATATAAGTGTGATGTATTTAGCCTGATGATGAGTCACTGAAAACGGGCTTGTTTGCTACACAGTATTTTTTATAACATTTCCGTTTAAAGGAGATATTGTAACAGATCAGTTCAACCGTTGCATGCATTGTTCACCAGACGCCCGTTGGTTGCATGTACCGGTCACTTAGACGTACCTTTCCAGCGGCAACCTTAAGAATTTGGTTCACGACAATGCCGATGTTGAGATTGAGCCTGAAAGACAAACTACCAGTCCACGATCATTCAGTGCTCATGTATTCATTTTCGTGTTGCTGTTGCGTTGGAGAACATGTTAGTCATACGACTAGGCACTTACCAAAAACGGTCAAGGAACATCGTTCAGCTTGGATCGGAACCGATAGTCGCAAATCAAGAACCAACGCCGTCGTTGCATATCTAGCTGACACCAACCATCGCATAGACACCTCCAAAACATTCTAAGTGGTCAACGGAGTTGCCAACACTAAACCAAAAACAGTCAATTAGGGCATTCTGACTTCCGCCGAATCAATTGCCATCAGATTAAACAAACCTAACCTGTGTCGTCAAAAGACATTTGCTTATTCCTTGCAAGTTCCGGAGCTATAGTTTAATCACATCCATTCTAACAAAACACTAACATCTGACTCTGACTGTGTGACGGAACATCTAGCCAACATCCGGTCCCGGTCTAACCAATTATTCTGTGTGTATTCTTTGTGTTGCCTTTATTGTCATTCGTTACCAGCGACTTCTTGGTTTTTGTGGTCTGTCTCATGTCATGTTTTCAAGAAACCCACGTAACCTATGTGGTAATTTAATGTCAATGCTTGTCGGTGGCGTTGTTGGATTCCAGTGTGAACTGATCGAGAAATCCTGCTTGGGCAGCCAATCGGCTGGATCATTTAATGGATTTCATATGACACAGTTGGTTGGGTGGGTAACAGAGTCCAAGTATGAAATTTCTGAGCTTCCGGCATGGCTTCGTAGCTCAACTGGTAGAGCACTTGCGGCGTTTGGGCATGTTATTTCTGACGCTGGTTTGAATCCAGCCGAAGTCCTGATTTTTTGCAAATGGATCCCTTCTAAATTATCAACTCTATAAAATTATTTATTAGTAATTCTATGTAATTGTATTGAGAAAGGATGATTAGAACAAGTTTTCGTTAAGTCGTTACTCCTTCTTATGGAAATTTTCCGACGAAAAGTTGCCAGGTTAGCTGTTTCCGAAATCTAAATCAAAGTAAAACAGGATAATTATCCATACTAAGTAAACTAGGTTCATTACGCTTTGAAAAACTACCGAGTGCTCTGAGTACTTCATATTACTTCTAATCTCAAAATAGGTTTATATCCTTAACTGGAAAATAAAGCTGATGTTGTCAAAGTAGCATATAGGTGAGTTCGGGGGGTTAATCTTGAAATGACGTTAACTTAATGATCTGACAAACGCTTCCAATGTAAACTACTGAATTGAAGTGGTAATACAACCTTTTATCTATTTCGGAATTCCAATAAAGTGGCAGCGATGTGGACCTATTAAGCGCACACTATGTCACTCCAATCATGGTCGCTTGTCAGTTTGGTTATTTGGACTTGGTGGAATTGCTTATAGAAAAAGGTGCAGATTTACGTTTAGAAGATGAAAATTACAAAACTGCACTTACCTGGGCAATCGAAAACGTGCACGCTGATGTGGTAATGGTAAGTCTGTTTATTGTATTTGATGGCAGTTAGCGAAAACGTTTCGGTTCTTAACAAAACGACATTGTCAATAACATCATCATTTACATGTCTGTTTTTCAGTTTTGTTGATGGTCGGCATGGTCAGAACTGCTTTAGAGGTGGGACTACTCAAGTGTCAACCCAGCGATGAATTATTCCAGTACATGGCTTGGACAGTTAAACACCAAATGTAGGTGATTTCTTTTGGTGTAAGCGAGTGGTTCAACTGGTACTCGAGTACAGCTTCTAACACAATATGGTCTCAGGACTAGGCTAACGATACATGACAATTGACACCATTCAGTCAACGGCGATTAAATAGCTATTCGAACTCCATAACAGTTCTAGTAGGATCGAAATACGAACATAATTTCAGCAGGACAAACAAACACAAGTAGTCTATGTTATGTGAAGGATTACATGGTGTGAGGTTTGCTTTCAAATTAACAAGGTGATCTAGTGAGTTTTTCCAAACTAGTTTGGAGATAGTCCGGTCAGTTGAGACAACTGAAGAGAATTTTCGGAGAATAGTTGATAGACTGGGATTAGGACTTACATTAGACTGCGATTTCTACCCGGTGTCTGTTAAATGTAACAAAAAATGTTATGGAAACTTATGTGACTGATAACGAACGTTCACCTTATTCCCAAGGACAACAGTTAATTTAATTATTTACGCCGAATGAGAAAATATCAAACAAAAAATAGAATTTGTATTACTAATGAGTAGTTTGGCAGATTTATGAATTTAGTGGGTAACCGAGTACAAATGTGAAATTTCCGAGCTCCTGGCGTGGCTTCGTAGCTAAGCTGGTAGAGCGCTTGCCGCGTTTAGGCATGGTGTTTCTATCGCTGGTTCGAATCCAGCCGAAGTCCTAACTTTTCACAATTGGGTCTCATCTAGAAAAATAGAATGTCATAATGCATTCGAGTTTACATAATGTACTTTGTATACTACTTTAAGTGAGTTGCTTCACAGCTAACTACCAAATAATACATACTGAAGTTAATTTACTGAATGCTTTGTGTTCTTATATAGTTATGCGTGAACCCCGTTAGCTAAAAATTGTCTTACAAGTCTGCTTGAATGAAGGCAGCTGTTCCTCTTCACCGTGCAGAAACCATCTGATTTCTATCTTTCACTTGACATACTGTTCGCTAACAACCAGTGAGTGTAAAGGTGACTTATTCAGCACATTTCTACTGCCTTCCAATCGATGTGCTGAGGGCATTAGACTAATTTTGAGTGGGCTCTTTTGTCAACCCCGCACGAAACTGTTTGGGTGAAAATGAGAACAAGGAGTAACTCAATCTGTGTTCTTGCATCCATATTAGCCGTGGGACTGATCGCAAGAAACTGTGCCTAAAGCCACTGCCCACCACACTAGTAGCTTAATAGATCCCGGACAAAAATTCACCAAAAGGGATAAAAGCGGATGGAACAAGAACAGACGAAAGAAACCAGAAAAGACATGGGTGGAGGTGAACAACCGTCTGCTGGATGTTGTCATCTTGATCAGAGGTTCTAATTAGTGATCTGAGTGACTAAAGGGGTCCCAGTCACACAGGTGATACCTTAGCTACTGTACTCAACGGAATGATAAAAGTCCTCGAATTCGATGACCAGGCTATTGCATGATTACGCTGTAGCTTCCCCTAGCGGTTACCAGTGTTGATTAACTTTCCGTATGGTAGACCATTAGCTGACATATGCAGTACGTGACGCAACCATTCTAGAATATACAGCTAGCATATTTGACCAACCAGTCACGTATGCTGTCCCGAACACTGCATGATTCTAAACCGCGGAACAGCTTTACGTATTCTTTATTTAAGCCACGACTGGATATCATGCTGGCACTACAAATTACATATTCTGGCAAAAGCAACATCTGCTTTCGCCATTCCGTTTGACAGCTTTTTAAATCTAAGAAAAACTGAACAGAAGAAGCTACTCAATAAGTAAAATTATCAGCGGTCTCAGGAAGACTGCTTGTAATATCGAACGTGAAGGTGGAAGTGGCTCAATCCTGACGCAGCACCTTGTACACTGATGGTACGATTCGTATTTCAAACGGACCAATCTGATCAATAACCATTTTTAGTATGGTTTAAGTGCCTTCGTCAGAGAGGTCAAGCAAAACAATGCCACTACCATGATCCTTGTTGGTCAATTTACTGTCCGCAGGGAATCAAAATCGAAGCCGTTGGATTCCTCAGTAGCACAACTGTTAACGACGTCTATAATAAAGTCGAAACCTGAAGAAGCGATTGCACATTTCTAGCAAATAACAATAGATGCATTACTGATAACTGACGAACACTCCTGTAAACTTTCAGCCAATAGCAAAGTATGTGTCTCGGGAACCTAACAAATTCACCTTCCTTTGGAACTGTTTTCATATAAGGCGTTGAACGTTAGGACTGGAAAAAACATGGGCATCAGTTGCCCAAGGGGATGCTGTCGTTTCAAAACCTGTAATAAGGTAAAAAACTCGGTTAATGTACCTTCAATCAATTTTGCCTGTTCCCCACGATGAAGCGGTGTTCTCGGACTTTGCACAAGCATCTAGTTCACTTGCGTTCACGTTTTTGAGGGTTTCTATCAGAACCGCAACCCGGTTGAGTCGAGCGACCCTTATTTGTAAGGTACATCGTTGTGAAACATATCCAGTTGTGTTGCGAGTGCACGGACCGTCTTGAGAGACTCTAGTTACTGCAGGTTTTTCCAACTGTTGTTAGCAGCCTTCGTTAAGTTCTCATATCCGCACCGAAATGGTACATTTGCTTGTCATATACTTCTTATTTGAATATCATTCAGTTATTTTGCATTTACCAGTTTTTATCTGTAGGCAACTGCCGAAGTAAAACGGGCACGCACAACAACATTTTCCGTGTCCATGCTGTTCCCTTGAATTGCGATACATTCTTATACGTAATGGGGTCACCTTTGATTAAGTGCACTATGAACTATGGCTGAAATGCACATGGCGGTCTCTGTAAGACAGTGCTTCTTTCTGTGTGAAATTACAACATACAAAGCGTAGAGAATGTGAGATAACCATATATGCAGCAGACTTTCACCGTTAAGACTGTGTGGTGTCAGGATAGTAAGAATATATTCGTACTAATTCTCATAATTGATACAGCGAACAAACTATGCCCCTCTGTTGCATGTGATGGTATACTGCCATCTGTTAACTTGGACCCAGTTGATGCTGAGGCACTGTTCTGCTTTGAAACACAATGTTATTCCCACTCCAATTCCACCACGAGATTAAAGTTCGACTTCCTTGGAAACGCTAAAGTAGGTGCGCTCCAAGCTTCAGTTGGTTAAATGCGAGTTGGAGAGAATAACGGTGCTAGACTGGCAGCTTGATGTCTCACAGACTCAACAAGCTCCAGGTTCGGAGCTGGTTAATTTTTAGGGGGGTGCGCTCTTTAAAAGCTTAAATGTTTATCAGGAGAAATCTTGTCACTCGAAAATACAGGAGGGGGTGAAAGGGGTAATAGCTGGATGATGTGATTTCAGAAAAATAATAACTTCGATTAAATCTGGGGGTTGATTTGAAAGACCTCACTCCGAATTTTTCATTCAACTCTCTAACTTGCAACATAACAAGATTACTTGTGGTGACCCTACCCGAATTAAAGGATCCAGGAGTCCGACTTGTTTGACAGTAAGAGCTTTGCCTAGCCCAAGCGTACGTTGAACAAACATTGCAGTCTGAACATGGATACTACTGCTTGCGGGGATGCACTGAAAAGTACATCAGGCTCTTGAAATTTACTGTATATTGCCTCACTGTGTAGGACAATGCACCTGCGTTCACGATCAGCCGTTCTTCCATCAGAATGTACTGTTCTGTTCATTGTATCTTCTATATTTCTTCTTATTTCTAAGATCTCAACGCTAAGATTGCAAAACTTGTTTATTTTTGTATGTTTATTCGTCCTCATCAAACTAAGCGCCCCAATATACTCCATTTTGCGACAGATGATGTGAATGTGTCCGTTTTTGCTCTAACTACCCTACCTTTGACAAGCTGGTATGGTTGTACCTAGCAGGATCAAGGTCATGATCAGCTCAACCTTCCGTACCGATTCAAGGAATCAGCATAACCAATACATCGATATAACAGAATAGGTCACTTTGCAGACAAACTATTGTTGTCAAGATAGCTGCCTAGAAATAAGGAAACAAACTGCGTCAACTTCGCCTCTCCGTCTTGGTTCTGTTATATACAAGGGAAATTAGAAGGCGTATACCAAGATATGTGTTATTCAGATGCTCGGAAGATGAGACTGCTGCTCCATAAATTGAGTATCACAGAAC